TGTGTGAGTGATTATTCGGCAAGCCGCAAGCTTGGTGGTTATGGCCATACCGATTACTATTATTCCCTAGTTAAGCTGGTGAGCGGTTTAGAAGAATGAAAACGATGCCAATATGCAATTCACATAATAGGGGTCTCAGTAAAAGAACCAGTTAAAGTCTTTAAATCAGCATGAGGAAAAAATAAAGTAAAAAGTGGAACTTCACGAACTGACAGTTAAAACTCATATCGCATTTATTTTTTGGAATTCTGAGAAAATGTTTTAAGAGAAGGCAGAAGTAACTGGTAGCTTTCCATTCTATTGCACGAGTACTTGAGGTCACGTTGGATGTCCTGATACTTTGAGTTAATTATTATAGGATAGTAGTTCTTTGGATTGCGAGCTTCAAAGAATATTCAAGAGTTTAAAGGTCTGAAAGGGTTAAAATACCTCAAACATGTTGAGTTTTGCAGTGGAAAAAGCAAGGAGGAAAAACGGGAATCAAGGCTAAAAATACACAATTAATAAAACCCAAGACGTTTCGACTCAAAACTGAGTCATTTTCAGTTGGAAGAAATAATAATTTAAAAAAAAAACGAAGAAAAACCTGAGCCCTAAATTGTGGTGGTCGGGATCTGAGAAAAAAAGAAAAAAAGTTGAGTTTTGGTGCAGCTTTTGTGCTTACGGCATTTCTATATGTCGAAGGCCGTTACATTGAGCGTGTTGAGAATCCCTGCATTTCCATTTCAGACACATAATTCATCACAAAAATTACCTTTAAATTGATAATTTTTGACATTTTTACAATCTTCATTCCATTTAAACAAGAATTTTCAACAATTTATACAGTTACCACAATGAGCTTCCAAAATCAATCGAGGTCACAAAAATTAGTCTAAAGAGTGGAAATTCTCTCCTTTTTTTAAACTTTCTTCCAAAATAAAAAAAATTAACAAATAATGACCGAATGTTGAAAATTAAACGATACAAATTTTGAAGCGTCTACGTGTATACTCTCTGGCACAAAAATATTTCGATAAGTTCTAAAAAATAGCTTCTGTCACTTTATTTTAGAAACTGTACACTGCGTCTATTTGTAAAGTTCACTGGTATCTCATGAATCAAAATTAGCAAGGTCTTCTTTTAAGCCATTTGAATTTTTGAGGACTTAGATGCTTTAAAAAAATGCAGCTATTGATTACGGTATCTACCTCAGTGGCGGTGACTGTAAAGCAACACTTTTCAACAATGCTAAAATTCACAAAAAAGGAAAGAATTTTTGCATATATTTTTTTAAGCACAATTTACAATATACGTAAAATTTACCGAGAAGTCTTTGAAAAATTACCTTGGATTATTCTTTAGGGTTGTTTCAACACTTTTTCCTCTGGGATTTTTAGTGTCCTAAAAGCACAGTAGATATTCAAAGCGTTTTGAAGCTTTTTAAAGGTAAATTTTATCCCTCAAAATTTTAATTAACAAATTAAAAAAAAAAGGTTTTTTAACTTAAATTTTAGGACCCCTTTAAATTACATTCTGAATTTCTAAGTTTAGATATGCATGAAACCTACTTACAAGTGAATAAGTAAAAACGCACATTTTGTGACCCTACTTTGTAATTTTTTTAAATTCTGTGCTACACTATTTAATAAGTTAAGACAATTAGAATTAATACATTACTCTAGTCATCAATCTATACATTTAATTTAAAAAAAAAAAAAAAAAAAAAAAAAAAAAAAATTGATCCCTCTTCTAAGGTGTTAATGGCTCCGATGTTAAAAGCACCAAATAAACGTATCCACCAACCAACCACAAGTTGACGGCAAAATTTTCGAGTGAACAGTTTTGCTCATATGTGTACAAGACAGAGGCCTGAACCCGTGAAGACAGAGCTGCTGTCTATGAACAGCAGCTCAAACTACTAACTGGAAGAGTTGCTCGCCTGTTCTCGAGATGGCAGCACGCTCGCCGAGACCTGCTGACCCAGTTCCGGCTTTCTTTAGGTTATTTCGAATGAATTGTTCCGACCGCAGAGTTACATCACAGCATCTGCCCGACCAGTCCCGCCCGGTCGTTGACCGATTTCCCTGCTACACTTATGATCCATCGGCGCCAACAGATCGGTTTACTGTCATTTACGCGTTGCATCGTTCCTGATCTTCGGCGATTAAAAAAAACTTAGAATCACCTTTTCTTCTCTCGATGAGTCGGAGAACAACAAACAACATTCGGATTTATTTTTATCCATGCGCTCATTCTCCTGTTGCTAATTTTTTGCACGCCGCACAAAGGATCGAGTCAATAGGAGAGGTCGGACATAATTTGGAAACTTTAAAAGCTAATAACTCCGTTTATACAGAATTTTAAGGTTGTAAAATTGGTTCCATTGGATTCCTCGTAAAATTTTCATTAAAAAGCACCTCTTCTAATTCACAAAGTGACGAAATAAACCTCAAAATGTGCTGTCTTAGTCAAAAATGTCATGTCCGACCTCTCTAATTGACTCGATCCACCGTGCGCCGCTGCGGTGTGAATTCAACTTTGCTAAAGCTCTGCCTGGACCTAGTTACCCGACGAGTTGTCTTCCGAACGCAAGTGAAATTTATTAACGGTGGAGGATTTATAGAGCCTCTAGCGAGACGGTATGCTTCAGTTGTAGAAAATATCCGATTAATGGGTGTTCTCGGCGGAAGTAGCAAAAAAGCTTTTGGCATCGATTCCGGTCGAAAGTAGACACGATTTTTTTTTTCTGTTACGGACTCCTTGTTTTTTGTCAACTGACTTCCAGGAAAACCGTATAGGTTTAAAGATCAGCTATCATGATACGAATGAGTAAAAAAAGGTCTGAACATGGTTCAATGGTTCATTAGTGTACTTATGCGATTTATATGATTAAATAACTAATTTTTAGGACCCTTATGATATATGCACTGTCTCACCCATTTTGGGGTGGGGGGGGGTCAAAATTAGTGTACTAATACCGTGAGTAGCGCCAAGAAAAAAGAGGGGAAGAGAGGGTGTCACAGGGGAAAGGAAAGAAACCTCGGAGAAAAGTATGTATGGTACTCTCGCCGTTTCCATCTCTATTTTAAAAACATAAATCGGTTTTTGTGTATTTAAATCTGATAGTATTATCTCTCCTGCATTTAAAATATAAAATAGGTATTTTATCTATGTATGTTAATTTTGGTTTATTTGAACGAAACAGGCGCACGATTACATAACAAAATCAGTTACAAATTGACAAATTGTCTAAGAGCACAAAAAATATGAAAATGTTCCCTCATCAAACTACGCATTACGTTGAAAGACTTTACCTTTGAAAATATAAAACGTAAAAACTCCTTCACAGTAGGTCGAGTAAAAATTTTCAGCAGTTTAAAGTCTCTAAAAAAACTCGGTCTTTCATATGCCGTCTTCTTATTTGTTACATCGTTTCAGGCAAAAATAGATGTACGTAAAACATTCAGTTAAAAATGTCAAACTATAGGTAATGAGATTTGATTAAACTTTTGCTTTTCTAAACCGGTGAATGCAAACGACGAAGGTATGGCATTTGTTGGCAAAACTTATCAAAACTCATTTGAATCAAGAATCTCTTTCTGCCTCTCTGAAGTCAATATTTTCTTTCCAACCAGAGAAACCCTGCAGAGAAAGTAAAAACTGCAAAAATTAGGGCTGACTACTTTCTTATCCTTGCGTTTAAGTCTCCAGGAATCACTTAATACGGACGAGAGAAATAAGAATATGGAGACGACTCACCCTGTGTTACGCTTGCTACACTTTTGTTTTACGGTGTGCACTACCACCAGCGAATTTTGACAGGGTACTTTAAGCGCCAGGTGAATGATTTTTGACACTGCTTACCAGTCATAGGTCATTACTACTTAATTTTTCAAGAATCGCAAAAATCTCTGAGTCTCTAAGTTTTTATGTCCATTTTGTGTAAAAATTATTATGAAGTGAAAAAAGTTTGACATATTGATTGTAATCCATGATTTTTCCCTTCATCATTGATTAAGCTCGGGAATAAAGGTGGAGATCAGACACATGCGAATTGACGAAAGAGGTGAAAAGAGAGTCGTCGATACAGTGTTTTGCCTCCCTTTCTACTTTGATTATCAGAGCAAAAGCACGCCAGAGATCTCAATGGCCCTCTGTGTTGTGAGGACCGGGGAGCCTGAAACTCCTTCAATCTGTTTCATATGCAACATGGGCGTCTGTTTAGCACCTCAGTAATCATTTTTAAAATCGTAATAAACGTCCTATTGAGCTCTCACAGTCCATTCTGTATGGTTTGGTTCTTGTTTGTTTGTCACGCAAATATATCAACTTTGAAGATTTGAATATAAATTTTTAAGCCAATTATTGTTATGAATTGATGCTGAAAATGTTTTCAAATGATACCATCTTACTCAAAATGTAATGGAAGAATGTAAGTCTCACAAAACTTTTCCTACAAAAAAATCGAGATAATTTTCCCTGACAGATAAAAATGTCCTTAAAAAGTTTGAAAGTTTTACGAGAAATTAGTGGCATTTTCAAAGTAATTTAAGATTTACTCGCACAGTAAAATTGTTCAATAAACCAACAAAAGTTTTAATAAAAATGATTGTCATATGAATAAAATTATTCCTCTTTGATCTGAGTTGAAACAAATAATTTTAAAACAAGAGGTAGTAATAAAAGCCACCGAACCCAATTGTATTGTTCAGATATTACCGTCCTCTCCGTAATCTGTCGTCAAAGTCAGTGTCGTTTGATGTCGTTTGCATACCTCTTGCGCGCATGTTATATCACACAAAATGGAAGGTTCATCCGTAAGTAGTCCAATAGGGATCACTCTTCACAAACACTGCGTCAAAATAGCGATGACAAATGATCCTTAAGTAATCCTCAACGCGTAGAGAAACACCACACACATCCTCAGAGCGAGCTTTTCCCCGCACGGCCCTACAATCACAAACGGGAAAGCACAAACCACATTGGAAAAGTGAACGGAAAATCACGGGGCAACCTACCTGTAATATCTGGACCGCACTCATATTGATCGGAGTAAAAAAATCGGTCTGAAGACGGCCGCAATTGGACAATCACTTTTATATATGCTGTTTGTACACAGGCATTGTGCTCTCGGGCCCTATTATGCCCACCAATGAAAGTAATTTGGTGGAAAGAATTTTCATCGCGGTGAGGAAAGCGGGAGATGTCCTTGTTGCCAAGTGTATACGATTAAATCATTAATTTTGCCAATCAATCATCACGGAGAAAAAAACTTCGTGCGTGGGACCCGAAGTTTAGGTCATATGGATCTCTGAAGTTTTCGGATTGAGCATCTGAACACTTTAGGTCCAGCTGCTGAGGTTTGGATCACACATCTGAAACTTCAGTTCTTACATCTGAAGTACTTCGGTTTTCACATCCGAACAACTTCGGTTCTCACATCCGAAAAACTTCGGTTCTCACATCCGAAAAACTTCGGTTCTCACATCTGAAGTACTTCAGATGTAAGAACTGGGGTTTCAGATGTGTGATCCGAACCTCGACAGCTAGACCTAAAGTCTCCAGATGCTCAATCCGAAAACTTCAGAGATCCATATGACCTAAACTTCGAGTCTCACGCACGGGTTTTTTTTCTCCGTGTAACGTATTGCAATTAGGGAAATCTCGTGATTTGCGACCCTTCTCTCTTTTGATGATCTTCTGTATTGGTGGCGCTTAAAGTCAATCTGAGCAAACACAGAAGGAAAGCTCATTTGTCAAGTGAATTTAACGTATGCAAAGTTGTACTCATGGATGATTTTTCTCATTGCTGGTGCCTTATAACGTCAATTTACAAATGGACTGCATTTTGCAATTTGGAACTATGAATTCTGGCATTTCTGGAAAAACACTTATGTGCATAGATAAAACTAATGGCACATACGTTGTCTTTAAACCGGGCTAGAATTAATAGTTCCAAATTGAAAAATGTAGTCCAAATATACAATTGAATCCATTATTCTTCTAGTTTTCAGAGACTTCTCCACCTGACTAAAAATTAAACGCGTATGCCGATTAGGAACCGACAAATCTGCCTTTCAACGCAGTTTATGCTTCACGTCTTGATATTCACCAGCATGCTGACAACACGGGAGTGATAGGAGACAGTTCTCCGCCTTTTTTCTTCCGTCCAATCCTCTGGTTGCTTTGTTCGGTTTCTTCTTGCACGATGACTGCCCAGAATGGCACTAGCCGATCGGTACAATTTGGCATAACCGTCAAGGTTGACACGCCGCCTCTGCTATGTCCACCCTCCTTGCCACTGCCACTGAAAAAAAGTGTTGGGGGTTATCCCCTGCGATTGTAGCAGTATCCCAATTTGTTAGATGATAAGATAATTTCCAATTAAATGTGGTGGTGCCGCAACCTTTGGCTTAGTGATCTAATTTATTGAGGTACTACCCTTATTAATTTATTGGAAATGTTCATATCATCCAACAAGCCCATGTTCTTTTTCTCCGTGATTTTCTCACCCTCTACAACGCCTCGAGATTTTTATGACAGTACAGTTGAGGGCTTTGCATACTTGCTCCCATTTGAGCTCTAACTCAAAATTGAAAAATGCAAAATTTTATTGTTGACTTTTTAAATTTCCCAAATGCAAATCTTTTTTGGAGACAGAAAGACTGGAGGACATACACGAATTGAAGAGAATGTTAGTGGTTACTAAATCCCTGATTATGTATGATTTTCAGGAAATCTAGTAGCCAATACTAGATCTTTGATAATGTTAAGAATGCATTGCATGGATTAAACAACTTAGCGCGCTAAGTATTAACGCTTTAGGTAAAATGGCGCCAACTGCAAGCAGTAGGGCTGAGTCCTACAGCTTGTAAAGCCGTGCTCTAAAACTGTAGGACTTAGTCCTACAGTTTGTGAAGCCAGAAACTAAAGCTGTACGGCTGTGGTTGTTGCTATTTCACCTGAAGTGTTAGGCTCAGTGCTAATTGTAAGTTGTTTTTCCTTGCAGTTAACATTTACCCGCAGCACTGTATGCACTATGAGAAATATAGTACTTTATAGCCATTACGTTTCCTGAGAATCCTACATAATTGGGAATCCATTAACTACCAATATTCTTTCCCCCTTGTGCAGAGTATTGAACTAAATTGAAAAAGAAAGGCGACCCGCGGGTTTCAAAACACGCTGTAGCTCGCCAGTATTTCCAGGAAAATGAGCCTGATGTTCCGAACAGTGATCAAGACCATCAGCAAAATTGACAAGTTCAAAAAATTTTTGAGAATTTTTAATTGGTACAAGTGAGTGGCTAGATGAATTGCGTCATTTTTGACTTATAAAATACAGCCGAGCCTTTAGAGCCTTCAGAGTATTGGAGTTCATAATTCTTGTGCGGGCTTTGAAAGAAATGCACATGAATAACAAAAAAGACTTATAATTTTTCATGAGAGAGAGCAGATCAGTGGCGTGGCGTGCTGTGCGATATATCGATTGCTCTGCCATTTAAACTTATGGAAAAGGATCGTTAGACAGGAAAGGATGCTCGAAACAAACACCTTACAAGTAGATTCTTTACCACAGCTTCAAACGGGGAAATATCGATAATCGATCATTCAGGCCTCGCCACTGAAGCAGATTACGCCCACAAACCACTTGATCCGGACAGCACTGTTTCATTTACTTTGGCAGTGTAAGAACAAATACATTCAGTGAAAGGTCGGCGTGGATCAAGTTAGTTTTTTTTTTTTTTTCATATATAAAGTTGTCCGTGGCTCACTCAATTACATCGCAAATTAAATATTCGGTGCTGTATCCGCCGTAGAGATTCAAGAGGAAGAATATTGGCTCGGGAGTGTTTGCCTCTCTTCCGACAAGTTGCATTTTTGTGTCAGGTGGTACTAGCCTCGGGCAAATTCGCAAACTTCGATGCTTCGCTGCTTATCCGGTCAGCCTCTCTTCTGAGGAATTTCCGCTGCTCCGTTCCGTAAACCTCCGTTTAGAGGATTAAAGTGATGACGTCAGATTTCGTAATTTCAATAAATCTTGGAGTCAATTTAGACTATGTCAGATAAATATCTTCTGTGTCTCGTTTCTTCTCGCTCCGACCTCAATACTCTTTCATATTTTTTTAATTCATCGTGCGCACGTGTGTATGTATCTGAATAAGTGGAAAAAAACATTTTTTCAGTTAAATTTTCAATGAATTTAACCAATCTAAAACGTCTCTTAAGAGTCCACATGCACAGGTGGCTGCTTAAAAGCAGCGTTTACCGCCGGAAGATACTAAAGATCCACACATTAAAATGAACTTAGCACCTATAGTGGTATTATCATAAACTTTCATGGAGTTGTGACCAAGTTATTCATGCGTTTGTAGAGGACATTAGGAGGTAGATCATAACATTCAGTTATTCTGAGGATTACGTATGGTCCAAGAATTAAAAAAAAAATAAAAAATAAAAAACCGTGTTTCCTCACAGATTTTCAAATACTTTATTTTTGTTTGATTTCATAGACTTTCGTGTAGCAGCTTTAATAAAGGAGGGGATTTTTGAAAATTTGAAGAAATAAAATTGTCTGAAGTTTTCGAAAAAAAATTGAAGCCACCCGGCTCTTCAGTCTGATTTTAATCTTTCTTGAAGAGCAATTAGAGAAAACATCTGTAATTAGAGACAAAAATTAATATTAGAACAAGACAATTTTTTTGAAAAAACCTACTGACTACTGAGAAGAGTTCATCTAAAGGTCAAATGACTTTGTTTTGAGGAAAACCTGTTCAACGTTTTGAGTACACATAGAAATGACCTTATCAGGGTGCCGAATTGCATTAAAAAGTATCACATAATTTGGCGTTACTAATGATCGGATTCTAAAAACCTGGGTCTTAAATCACAGCTGAAGATATGTAAAATTCGACCAGACAAAAGACTGAAAAAACTGAAAATAAAAATGACTCATGACTCTCCTTACGTCCCCATACCCCCAAAGATTAGACCAAAAGAACGGCATACTTCAACTTATTCCATGGTGGCTTAAAGAGTGATCAAAATACTGCCCTGCTAAGCAAGAACGCCGTAAATCCATCAAGATTTTCCCTCGTTTTTAGGAACTTAACACTTAATAAAATAAAAACTGTTTTACCCATGAACTTCAAATTTTCAGGTTAAGTTCTTGATTGTACTTGCGAGAAAATTCTGGAAAAACATTGTCCCAAGGTACACAAGTTTTTTTGCTACGATACATTGTTTCCAAAACATGTAAAATGGCGTTTACGGCGTTTTTGCGTTGCATGGCAGAATTGTGAGCCACGGTCCATCGTCGATGACAGAGTGAATGGCTGCAGAGGTGTCCCAAAGGTCATTGGTCAGTAATTTAGGAGTTGCATCAATGAGATGATTGACTCAAGACACTCAGCTGTAGATCGGAACCATGGATCATTTGTGGTTATCGAAACTGCAGCAAAGTGCCGCTCGTGCGTGACTCGCACTTGTGCCCGTCAATTTCAATCCCCCCCTCAACCCCCATTCACCCCCCTTC